GGGCTTAGTGTGGCCTGCCCCATGCCCCAGGCTCTTGCCCTCGTGCTGCCCCCTTGGCTGTGGAGAGGGGCTGCTGCAGGGAGCTGGCTCTGCTCTGGCTGCCCTGTGCCCCGGAGAGCTTGCTGTGGGAACTGAGGTGCGGATTAGGAAGGGGGTGGGACGTGCGGTGCCAGTCCATGGTGGCGCTGCCTCTTGCGGCGGGGGGGGAGGGGGGGATTTAGCAAAGGCCCGTGGCAGAGAGGCTCCTGCCTGAGGCAGTGGGGGTGGGTGTGAGGGACCCCAGGGTCTCCCTGATGGCACCGTTCTTGCCCTTCCTGCCGCAGAGGGGGGTGCCGGATGGAACCCTCTGGGTTCCTCCGGTGCCCAGCTCCGACCCGCCGTCTCTTTGTGCTCAGGACCTGCCTGTAACCTCTTCCTGCGGCTCTGTAACTTCCGGCTGGGGCCCTTTGAGGTCAACAAGTTCACCGCCCCTGGCGTGAGTACGCCGGCCGGCCGGCCCTGGCTTCCCAGGGCGACGCTTGCAGCTGTGAGCGCTTGCCCTGAGCCCCACCCTGCTTCCCGGGCGGGGGGCTGCGGTTCCGGGCTCTCAGGCCCGTCTGTCTGTCTGTCTGCAGCTCTTCATGTGCCTGCTCTGGGTCCTGCTGCAGTTTGTCGTCATGGCGATGTATTACGACCTGCAGCCCGGGCCCCACCTGCAGCGCGCGGCGCTGGCGGCGCCGGAGGAGGAGGAGAAGCCCTTGGTGCAGCATGAGGCTGGCCAGGAGGAGAGAGACGGGCAGCACGGCTATGGCAGCACTGGCACTGCCCAGCGGGCGCCCGGCGAGCCCCCCGAGGGGGACGAGTACCGCTATGTGCCCAACGGGCACCTGGCCGAGGAGGAGGGCCGAGAAAAGGAGACGAGCCCGTTCCAGAACTTCAGCGTCATGCGAGGTGAGCACCCCCGCAGCCCAGCTTTTCGGGGGATCCAGCTGGGAGCCCGGTGGGGGCCCACAAAGCAACCTCACATGCCTCCCTTATGGTCAGTACCATGCTGGGCCGTCCCTGGGTCCATGTGGGTCGTATAGCAGGCCCCCAGAGCACAGTGTCTGCAGACCAGGTGGTGGGTGTGTCGGAGGGGGAAGGTGCCATGCACCTTCAGATGGTTCTGAAACTTAGACCCAAATGCCAAAAGTTGGGACTTGAAGGGTTAATATTTGGTGCAGATGCAGACAGCCCTGCCCCAAGGAACGTAGTGTCAAGGCAGACACAAAGGGCAACACTGGGAAGATTGCCCCTACTATAGAGTTAGGAACAGGCCCAGAGAGACGAGTGCGGTTCCACCATGAGAAGGGGGGGCGGTTTGTCATGGGCTCTGCTTGGTGTAGGAGGTGCACGGGTGTGACAGCACAGTCGGGGTTCCCCTGATCCTGCACCCCCGTAGCAGCCATATCCGTCTCCACCAGTCAGCAGAATAGAGAGGGGTTTATTGATTTTCCAGAATACAGCACAACATAGACGTGATGTGGCAATAGGAGGGGGGCTAGGGGGTTAGGATGCCCCAGACACCAAGCCCCTAGTCTCCAAGCCCCCTCCCTAGGCTGTCTCCATCATGTTTCCAGCCCCAGACTCACTCTTCCTCCCCCCATGTACTTCCTTTGTTCCATCCTCCTCCTCCTTCCCGCCGGTCAGGGCCGTGTCTGGCCCCCCTGCCGGGCCGTGCTCACAGACAGGGCCAGTAGGGGACAGCCCAAGCCTAGCGACCAGCAAGATGCCCCACTACGTCACATAGTTTGAACATCCAAGCCCTGGTGCTAATGAGGTGCCTCAGCATGGCCCCCATCCCGACGCTTTGCATGTGTCACCCCCCTTTCCCTGCCGCCTCATGGGCTTGTTGGCCTGCTGCACTGGTAACGGGGTGACCGGGAGGGCTCCTTCCCCGTGGGGGTGGTGGCTGCGCCCGGATCCCAGCCTGTGACGTCCCCTGGCCTCCTTGCAGAGTACCTGCGGGAGGAGGTGGTGGTTCTGCTCACTGCCCAGTTCATCACCCTCTTCAACCAAACAGCCTTGGAGGTGAGTCGCTGGGGGCGTGGTGGGCAGGTTGATCCTTTCTGCTCCCACCCAGATGGGGAGGGGGGTCCTCTCCCTCAGACTGGGTCTAGGTGTGCCCAGTCCTGTCCTTCCCGGGGTCTGGAGATCTATAGCGGGGGAGAACGGGGGTCTCCTCTCCCCTCCGTGTGGTGCTCCGGCCTTTCCCGGACCCCAGGTAGAGTTCTCTTCTCTCCTGCGCCTGGCGCCCAGAGAGATGGGCACCTCTCCTAGGGCTCAGGGCTCCTTGTGCAGCAGGACAAGGGGAAGCCCAGAATTTGGGTGAACGTTGGGCGTGACCCAGGGTTACCTCCAGCTTAGGGAAGACGGGCAAGAGCAGAGACCCAACACGCTGGTCAGGAGAACCCTCCCACCGGCAATACCCCCAGGCAGAGTGGGGGGCACCCCATAGGTGAGGGTCTGTACCCGCCCATCCTGCCCCGAGGGGGCTCCTCACTGCCGTGATTGGAGGGTGGCACTGCCTTGCCCATGCAGACGTGTGACTGTAGGCTGCTTTCTGCACCCGTCTGTGTCCGTCTCCAGACCATGGTGACCCCCATCACCCAGCGCTACCTGAGCTTCGGGGAGCTGGAGAACAGCATCATGTACTTCCTGTGCGGCATCGAGGTAGGCAAGCCCAGCGGTGGGGTCCTGGCAGCAGGCAGGTGTCCATCCTCCAGCTAGGCCTGCCAGATGCTTTCACCAAAAATCCTGAATGTGGCAGGAAAAAACTTGGTTGGGGGGGGGGGGACAAAAACAAGGAAATGAAAGCTGTTGAGCAAAAAAAAGAAAAGAAAACTAAAAAAAGTCGCTGCGCCTTTAAGAATCCCCACGCGCCTCGCTTCCCCACACCAGACACGGCAGGGGAGCAAGGTCCCTGCCGGCCTTCGCCTGAACAGGGGCCAGAAATACCAGACTGTGCGGGCGAAAACCGGACACCTGGCAACCCTACCCATAGCGCGTGTGCACGGGCACGATCCAGGCCTTGCCCAGGGCACTCGCGATCTTTGACACTCATCCCTCTCAGCTCTCGCTCCAGCTTCCCTGGAGCCCTGGCGCACCAGGCTGCATGCTCTGGGCTGTGCTAAGCGAGGGGCGCTGAGCTGTGGGCACTGCTGAGGGCCAGGCTGCTCTCAGTCCCGCCCCTTCCTCCCTCGGTCCCGCCCACTTTCCCGGGGCTGGCAGAGGCTGTCCGCTCGGCTGACCCCAGGCGTTAGCTCTGTGTACAGCCAGAGTGGGGGTGGCCTAGAGCTAGCCTCCTCCATCACTAAGCCAAGCTCTCCTCTGGCAGCCCTCCAGCCCCGTGCTCTGCCTAGCTCAGGCACGGGGGGAGGCTGGTCATGCTGGCGCTCCAGCCAGCCAGGCCTCTCCTGCACAGCCCGTTTCTGTGTCTGCGCCCCCCCTTCCACGGGAACGCTGCCCCATTGCGCGTCCCCTGGCAGCCCCTCTGGGAGGCGTTAGGGCCTCTCCCTGCACGGGCGGGGCTGAAATGACCTTGCCCGGCTGCGCTGGCACTCTCACTGTTCCCACGGGTGGGCTGGCCTTGTGCTAGCGTGCAGGGAGAGGGGAGTGCCAGGGCAGAGGTGCCCGGAGCGTCAGACAGAACGAGTACGGATGCCGTCTCTGCCCTTGTGCCAGCAGCACGTGGAGTGGGGCATCCCTGCCAGCGCTCTGTGTTGGCACCGAGGGCACCAGGCTGGGGCAACCTCATCCCCAGGTGCCGTGGCCCTGCTGAGCTGCATTGGGCCTGGAGCCAGGCTGGCACCTGTGCCCGGGCATGGCCTGCCTGTTAGCAGGGGAAGGGCCAGAGTGCTGAGGCTGTGAGGGGGGGAGGGCAGACCGCGGAGCCCTGGCGAGCAGTGACTCATTGGCTTCCCCAGCGGGGGGGGGGAGGGCATTTCTGCCTGGGCTCTGCACCCAGCCTGGGGGGCTGTAATAACCCAGCTCCTCCCGCCCCCCAGGTGATCTGCGGCTTCTTCCTGGTGCGCTGCCTCAGCAGCCGCCTCCCCGACCGTGTGATCCTGGTGCTCGGGCTGGTCATCTGCAACGTGGCCTGTGTCTGGTGCCTGCTCTTCCTGGCGCGGCCCCGAGGTAACCGACTGCCCCACCCCCGGTAACCGCTCTGCTGGGACTGCCGGGTCCTCTCTCCCTAGGCAGGCACGCTGCCCCGCCCTCCCGTGGGCTCCCGGGACTCGCTTGGAGGGGCTGAGTTTGTTGGCTGGGGGTGGGGCGGGGGTAGGATCTCTGGGCTGCGGGCACCTTGCCTAGCTCAGGCTGGCCCAGTAATGCCAGGCGCTGGGTGGTGGAGAGGAATCCTGCCCGGATGGGGCGGTTTTGCTCAGCCGTGCCAGGCCCAGTGCCTTGGGGGTGCTGTGTTTCCCCAGCCCCTCTCCCTGCTCCATGCCCAGTGCAGGGGCCAGGGAGTGCTCTCGGGGTGCCCAGAGTCAGGAAAGTCTGGTCCTCTGCAGAGTAGGAAAGCTAGCAACTGAGCCCGGAGCCCGCCGGCGGGGGGCAGAGATGCCAGGAGCTTGCCCATCTCGAGCGAGAGGCCTCGCTTTGAGCACCTGGGGCTCTTAGTTTGCCAGGCCCATCCTGCCCCTGCCATGTCCGCTCTGTTGCCCACAGGGAGCTTTCCCGTCCTGCTGACCGAGCTGGTGGTCGGCGTGTTCCTGCAGGTGCTGGGGCTGCCCTTCGTGGCCGTCTCCCAGGTCTCGCTCTTCTCCAAGGTCACAGCGGAAAAAACACAAGGTGAGCCTCAGGGAGGGGGAGTCGGTGCCCGGCACTGGGGCGTGGTGCCTGCTGCCTGCCCACCCTGAGAGCATGCACTTTCCTGCCTGCCCCATCTCACTCCAAGCCCTGATTCCGCACCTGACAGGTGTGTGCCTTAAAACACCCACATGACCTCTGTGCGCTCGGCCTCTCCCGCCCCCTCGGGCCTTGTAGGGACCCCACAGCGGCAGCTCTGGGCAGCTGGGATCGTGGGTGGTGCCCTGCATTAAGGGCATGGGACTGTTCACTTCACCCCAGTCTGGCCCGCCCGTCAGGGTCTTGGTGTTGGCGCAGGTCACTCTGTTCCAGGAGGAGGTGCTCACCTGGGCACCGGGCCCCCGTTCCATGGCTGTGCTTGGCTCCCAATCGATGGCTAGGGTCCAATTTCTGCCCTGCTCCCAGCGGCTGAGTCCCGCCTCCACTCCATGCTGGCTGGGTCCCTTTTAGCTCAGAGCCCGGCTTGCAGGGGGGCGGGGCCGCTCCTGCCCTGGATGAATGGGAACGCCCTTCCCAGCAGGCTCCCTGAGTGACCCTGTAAGATCAAAGTGCACTGGGATCCTCCGTGAGGCCTTGCTGCTGTCTGCCACCTAGCACTGGGTGAATCTACAGGGATGGGCGGAAGCCCCGGGGTGGCACAGGTGGACAGGCAAAGCCTAGCGTGGACAGGCAAAGCCTAGCCCCCACTGGGCTTGCAGAAATGTAGAGCTCAGGGGACCTTGAGAGGTTGTCCACGTTCCAGTCCCTGGTGCTGAGGCAGGGCTAGATAGACCTAGACCTAGGCCAGTCTGGCCTTTAAAACGTGATGGGGTTGTCGCAGCCTGGTCCAGAGCTTCCCTTCCCTCTCAAGGCCTAACCTAAGCCTCCCTTGCTGCAGACCAGCCTGTTGGGACGTGTCCTGCCTCCAGTGGCCACGGAGAACAATTGGCCTTTGTCCTGTCTCTACCAGCCCTGAACGCATTTAAAGTCTGTTGTCCAGTCCCCCTTTGCTGTTGACTAAACAGGCCCAGGTTTTAACCTGGCCCCTCCCGTCGGGTTTCCCAACCTGTTTCTTTCCAGTCTGGTGCCACGCTGGATTTGAGCCAGAGAGGAGGCCTCCGCCGACAGCGAGCTCTGAGCCTTTGCTGGTGTATTTTTTGCCAGCTGTTGGTGTGAGCGGCGTGGAGGGACTGGGCGTAGCTTGGGGAAGGAATTCTCTTGGGAGCAGCCGGTCCCATTGACGGACTGGTGCTCAGATCCAGCGTGATGGGGAGGCAAAGATTCCGACTGCAGGGGCTACGGCTGTGCTGCTCGGACCAGCGGAAAGCATCTGAGCCCCACATCCCATGGGGCTGTTTGTGGGGCTGGGCGCTGCTTCTCTCTCTGGCTTGCCTGCTCTCTCCCAAGCTGTCATTCTCTGCAATTGCTGGGCTGGTCCAGCCACCTCGGGCCCGTTTTCTCTGCCCCCTTGGCTGGGGGGGATACAGCCCAACACCCAGGCAGTCTCGCTGGTTCCCTTCCCAGATGGCCGTTGTCGGTGGCACTGTTAACGCTCAGGCACTAGGAAGGCACGGTCCCATCCCCACCTGGGGAGAGGCTGCCCCTGTGAGCACATGGCTGAGTCCGGCTCCGGGGAGGGCAGGCAGCACTAACCTTTGTGTTCTCCCTGGGCCTTAGGGTTCAGCCAGGGCCTGCGGCGGTCTGTGGGGGGCGTCGCCACCATTCTGGGGCCCCTGTGGGCTGGAGGTCTGACCGAGAACCTCTACGTCATGCTGGGGGTGATGATGGGCCTGCTGAGCCTGCTGACGGTGAGCACCCAGGGACGACCCCTGCCCCCTCCCCAGCCCCCTTCCCTGGGGGATCCTGCAGGCTGCATGCTGATGGCTCTTCTGCTGCTGCAGGTTATGGTCGGGCTCTCGTACTCTTACCTGGTGGAGCCGCCCAGGGGCTACGTGCCGGGACCGTCCCAGGAGGAGCAGCGCTCGTGACCTCCCGACTCTCCACGGCGCGCCCCACGGGACTGCACGGCTCGAAGCCACCAAGGTGAGCGCCTGAGAGCTGTGGAGCTCGGGGCGCCTCCTCTGCTCTCATGGCCAAACGGCCCTGGAGCAAGCAGCCCACCGTGCCTGGGGGAACCTGGGCCAGGCCAGCAGCTCCTGCCTGTACAGCCCTGCTGGGGCCGCTCCAGGCTGTGTAACCTCCAGGGAACCGGCGCAGGATGTTTGACGGGGAGACAGAGAAGGGCTTGATGCTCCATGGGCTGCAGAGCCGCAGTGAGAGACCAGGGAGTCTGCGGAAGAGCATTTGACCCTCCTTTGGCCTTGGCTCTTGTCACTGTTGTACAGGAGCAAGCAAACACTTCCCAGGGTGCACATGGCATTAAAAAAAATCTCTTGATGGCCCATGTATGGGGGGGGAGGGAGGGGTGAAGGAAATTCCTCAATAAAAAAGTCAGTGAGAGAGGCGCTGGTGGTTCTTCTTAGAGGCCTTCGTGCCTAAATGTGGACATGCTTGCCCGAACCCCCTTAACTCTGCCCTTCACCGTCCATGCGGTGCCTCTGTCCCTAAGCTACCCCCTCTCTGCACCTTTTCCCTACCTTGACTGGGACGTTGGTAGTTAACCTGCAAACCTGCCAGCCGCTAGCTTTGAGCTCCAGCTCGCCTTCCCTTTCCAGGGCCCTTAGCCCTCTGTAAACACACCGGGCCCCCATTGCTGAAAGACCTCAGATAAGAAGTGGCTGAGCTGTGTCTGTTTATTACACCTGGCTGGAGGGCAGTGTGTGCTGTTCCTATATTTAGAAAAGGCCCTAGGGCTGTTCTGAGGAATTACGACCCCTGGGGAAATGGTTGCCACAATCATGTAAAGGTAAAATAACTAATCCAGCTGGAAGCTCGTGATCTGAGAGGATCCAGCGCTGATCCTGTGGCAGAAAAGGCTGGCTCCCTAATCTATTAATTCTTTGTATGTGGCAATAAAAGAGCAAGAGCCAGCTCGCCTGATATATTTAGACTTCCACAAGGCCTTTGAGGCTCCTCACCAGAGGCTATGGAGAAAGCTGCACCTCATAAGGTGCATGACCTGGTGCTGTCATGGATCAAAAATGAGCGAAGCAGCAGAGCTCAAAGAACAGGAGTAAAGGGGGGATTTTCATTGTGGCGTAAGGAGCCAAGTCCTCAAAGGCATTCAGGCTTCCATTGAAACCAGTGGGAGTTAGGAGCCTACATACGCACTCGAATCTAGGTCAAGGGGCCTGGTGGGCTGCCTCAGGATTCTGTACTGACGCAGTGTTCGTCTTACTCATTAACCGTCAGCAGCGGGCTGGGTTGTGAGCTGGTAAAACGTGCAGTAGCCACAGTTATTCAGTCACATCCAGAGGGGGCTGTGCAGAGCTTCAGAGCACCTTACTCCAGCCTGAACGATAAACGCACCATCACGCACACTGGAGGGGGAAACCAAACAACCCAGCCACCCTGCCGGGTTCTCGCTTGGCTGCACCTGCTCAGGGAAAGGGCTTGGAGCCCAGCTTCTCGCTTGGCTGCACCTGCTCAGGGAAAGGGCTTGGACAGCTTTGTTCAACATGCCGAGATGGCAGGCTACATAAGGAGCAGGCCAGCGAATACCACGGAAAGCAGGGAGTGGTCTGGTCTCATCTGGCTCATGGTTGCCCTATCTCAGACTGGAAAGTGAGAGATTTTTTTTGGGGGGGGGGGAAGAGAGAGTCTCTGAAGCAGAAAGAGAGAAAAGATTGGGATTGTCTCCTTAGAAAAGAGAGAGAACAGGTGCCGTGATGGAAGTCCATAGTCCATAAAATGACTGGATCAGACTGTGGAACTCCCTGCCACAGGATGTTGGTGAGGGGATGTTGGTGAGGCCAAGCATTTGGCAAGATTCAGAGAGGGACTGGAGCCCAAGTACCCATGGTTGTACTGGTTGAGGTTAGCAAGGAGTATTAGAGGGATGATAACAGCTTGGGGTATCAGATCAACCTGCTCCTAACTCAGTTGTGTGTGGGGCAGGTTACCCTGTATCTGATACTGCGGGGCTCTTCTGCCTGGCTCTTCTGCCTGCCTCTGCAGCAAGGACAGGATGCTGGGCCTTGACTGCGATCCACTGCGATCCAGCCTGGCTATTGCTGTTTGCTTCTGCCTGCTTCTGCCCTCCGTATATAGACCACGAGCACGGAGAGCCCATCTTACCTTCTGCACAGCATGGCTAGTAAATGCCACCCAGCCCGGCGCTCAGAGATGGGCCCGCTCCAGCCATGGCGGGAGGCTCTCAGGGGCTCCTGCATGTGTGGGAGGGCAGAGCCCCCTGACTTTACACTTCTCTCCCCTGCAGGAACTGGCTGGCTCCTCTGTCTCAGCCTGTCACCCTCTGGCTGCCCCCTTCCTGGGCAGGGCCATGGGGAGTGGGACTTGAGCTCGCAGTGGTCAGCACAGCGGGACTGTCAATGGATGAGCCCACAGCTTCTCCCTTCTGGATTGGCACTGTTCACACCCTGCCTTCCCTTCCCCACTGGGCCGGCATTCCCTGCAAGGACCCTGTGCTGCTGGCTCCTGTCTGCAGACTGACCGGCCTTCCCTTCCCACCCCCAGGCCCTATGGGCCTCAGCTGGCTGCAGTCTCCCTGCACAGAGGGGAAGGCGAGGGAGATGCTGTGGTCTCTCCTAGCCCCAGAGCAGTGTTGCTGCCTGTGCCACTGGCAGAATGCAAGGGGCCTGGCAGTGGGGGGACGGAGGCTGTGTCCCAGTGCTGCTCGCTGGAGCCTTGGCTGAGAGGCACCCCTGCGAGGAGCCTGGTCCACGGCCTCCAATGGAACACAAGGGCAATGAAACTGCTCCCCTCTGCCCCCAATCAGGTTCAGCCTGGCCCTCCCCTCACTCCATGCCTGCAGGTGTGGGGGCTGGGCAGGGCTCTCCTTGTCTCCATCTGTATCCTGTGCACTTGTAACTACCACCAGGTGGATTTGAACCTGGGACCTCTGAAACAGAGTATAGGAGCCTCTACCCTCTAAACTAAAAGCCAGCTGGCTCCCAGCCCATGCTGTAGAGGTCTCTTGGTCTTAACTGTTGCTGTGGTCTAGGCAGGAGCGGATATAGGGCAGGGCGAACGGGGCGGCTGCCCCGGGCCCTGCGCTTCAGAAAGCCCCGTGCATGCGCCGTGGCGCCGCTGTGCATGCGCCGTGGCAAAGGGGGAGGGCCCCGCGGAATTATGCTGCCCGGGGCCCCGCAAAACGGTCATCTGCCCCTGGGTCTAGGTACCATTTGCCTTGCTCAGTAACCACACTAGGGCTATGTCTACACTGGCTGGTTGTTGTGCCAGAAGTATGCAAATGAGGCTAAGCGTGGAATATCGTTGAGCCTCATTTGCATACCTAATGAGCCGCCATTTTTGCAGAAGAGGCTCTTGCGCCAGAAGGAGCTGTCTACACTGCCCCTTCTTGGGCAAGAAAACCCCTCTTGCGCCATGCCGCTACGCTGATTCTTTTCAGGAATAACAGCGTTGCAAATGGATATTCCACGCTTAGCCTCATTTGCATACTTCTGGCGCAACAACCTGCCAGTGTAGACGCAGCCTAGGTGTGTGGGTTACACACGGAAGAAAGAATAAACCCAGGGGAGGCTGATGTGCAGATTCACCCTGCCAGGCAGGGGCCTCCAGGCACTGCTGCACTGAGGGAGAGGCTAAGAGACCTGAGCCACCCCAGGGGCACGGGCGCTGCCAGGCTGGACCGGAGGGCACCATCAGCAGCAGTGGCTCTTCTTGCATTCTCTGCCTGGCGCGGAGCTCAGAGCTAGGTAGCAGACTGAGGCCCTGCCTGCTGCAGTACCGCCTGCCACCACAAGGGGCTGCCCTCTGGAAGTACCTGGCTGCTACCTAGAAAATTGCGGATGCCCGACCCAACATCATGTGACTGGAGGTTGGGCTCCGGGGGGGCTGAGGATGGAGCTTTGGGCTGTAGGAGGGGGGCCGGGCTGGGCAGGAGGGGCTTAGCTTGAGCAGCTCCCGGTCAGTGGGGCTGGGCGGGGGAGGGGAGGCAAG